GCTTCTAAAGTGTACTCACTCAGCAACCAGGATACTGCACTCTGGTTGTTGTAGGTGAAAGTGTATTCTACGACATCAAGGCACCACTCCTTGAGGTGGTTATCACCGTCGGCGCTGCTGGCGCGTTGGCTTTCGAAGCCTAGGCTCGAAGAAATATTCAGCATACCCCTTGAGCATGCCCTTTAATGAGATTAAGGGTTTAGGGTTTAGGGTTTAGGGTTTAGGGTTTAGGGTTTAGGGTTTAGGGTTTAGGGTTTAGGCATGGTAAAATGTCCCCTAAATTCTCCCTGTATAGGCTAAGGCGTATTTCGTTTGGGGTATGTTGAATTATTCTTAGATAGTACGGCCCTCAACACCCTCTGAACATATTCCTCAAACAGGCTCCGCTTCAGCCCAGCAAGGGAAAATATAACCCTAAACCCTAAACGCTAAGCCCGAAACCCTGAACCCTGAACCCTGAACCCTAAACCCTAAACCCTAAACCCTAAACCCTAGCTTTAAAAACATATATATCCCAAAAAGCCCTACCGAGAGGCTGTGGTTGTACGAGACGATTGTGCACCGATCTCCCAGCGGCTCAAAGACCTCGTCCGGCTCGGACCTTCCACTTGTTTAGGGTTTAGGGTTTAGGGTTTCGGGTTTAGGGTTTAGGGTTTAGGGTGTAGCACAGGTCAGCTGAACGCGTTAGCGTGAAGACATGCCCACCCCAAGGCCACCCAATCACAACTCACTGCGAGCCAAACCGAAGCCAGCCCAAACGAAGCCAACCATTCACAACTCACACGTCGAATATTCTCATTAGAGGATACTAAAGTTACTTCGGACTTCGAGTGCTTGGGAAAGATTATGAAGACGACGAAGCTCCAGTAAGCAGTCCAAGCCTTCAAGGATTGGACTTCTGGGTCACTTGGAACTTTGGGCCACCCCTTTAGGTTTTTGCGAAGGGGACGGTCTGGGCCGAAGGGCCTTCTCATAGAAAACTCAGGCGTGAATAGGTTGCAAGTTGAGGGTCACTTGGGGCCACAAGGCAAAGGATGCCCCTTCAGGTTGTTGCGAAAGGGACGGTCTGGGCCGAAGGGCCCTCTCATAGAAAATTCAGGCGTGGAAAGGTTGCAGCTTGGGGCGCACTTGTGGCCAAGACAAAGGAGACCCATTCGGCTGCTGCGAAGAGGACGGTCTGGGCCGAAGGTAGAAAACTCAGGCGTGAAAAGGTTGCAGCTTGGGGCCAAGACAAAGGATACCCCTTCAGGTTGTTGCGAAGGGGACGGTCTGGGCCGAAGGGCCCTCTCATAGAAAACACAGGCGGGAACAGGTTGCAGGTTGTGGGTCACTTGAGGCCATAAGGCAAAGGACGCCCCTTCAGATTTGCGCGAAGGGGACGGTCTGGGCCGAAGGGCCCTCTCATAGAAAACACAGGCGGGAACAGGTTGCAGGTTGTGGGTCACTTGAGGCCATAAGGCAAAGGACGCCCCTTCAGATTTGCGCCAAGGGGACGGTCTGGGCCGAAGGGCCCTCTCATAGCAAATTGAGGCGCGAATAGGTTGCACAGGCAGACACGCCATGTTTTCGGGGAGCAAAAAGTGTGAAGGGCTCATGTTGAACAGTTTTCCACAAACCTCCCAGCCTGTAGGGGCATCCCAGAGGCCTCCCAGGGGCCTCCCAGGGGCCTCCCAGGGGCTGGCAGGGGCCTCTCAGGGGCCTCCAGAGGGTCCACGGAGGCCTTCAGAAAGGCGCCAGGCCAGGGTTGGGGGTGGGCGGGGTTTTAAAGGCAAAGGATTTCCCCTAGGGTTTTAGGGTAATAATATATACTAGGGACAGTGCTTGGCGACCAAGCTTGGTGACCCCTCAGGGGTGCGGTGGGCAGGCTCTGCAGCTCAAGCAGAGCCTGCCATGGTCTCGCTGAGCGCTCGACTGCGCCCGCCTACCCAACAGAGGTAAGAGGGGTGGCGGGCGGGTTTAGGATTTAGGGGTATAATTAGCACTTGGAGGTTTCATGGTACTTATCAACCAAGGGTTTAGGATTTAGGGTTTAGGGTTTGGGGTTTGGGGTTTAGGGTTGTTTAGGGTTTAGGGTTAGAATTGGTTGATAAGTCCGGGCTCCGACCTTCCCAGATACAGGGCGGCTCCGCACACGCAGATTGCAATTCCTGAGCTCACACGGACATACTTTTCTTTAGGATTAGGGTTTAGGGTTTAGGGTTTAGGGTTTAGGGTTTAGGGTTTAGGGTTTAGGGTTTAGGGTTTAGGGTTTAGGGTTTAGGGTTTAGGGTTAAAGGCTTAGGGTACCTTATTGGGGTCCTTATTATAAGGGAATCCTACTCTGGTGGGGTCTATATTTGGGGTCCCCTATTTTCGTAAACTCCCACATCCAGCAGGCTGAGAAGGAGACTGTGCCGAAATAAAGCCCTAGAACGTTGAAGATAACTTTGGGAATTTTTGTTGGTTGAATTCAGGGTTTAGGGTTTAGGGTTTAAGGGTTGATAGTAAGGAACCGGTAAAAGGCCTCAAAAATAATCGGGTCTCCCTTGCCAAACACACTGGAACATCATGAAAAATGTAGGGAAACATTACATAACATACTACAGCATACGGGTACTGTTCTAAAGTCGGGTGCTTTTGAGGATCCCTTTCTGTAAGGGTGCCGTACTATGCAGCGGACCCACTGGGGACCTTCTAGAAATAGTACAAAGGTTTTGACACACCACTTGATAGCCCAGGAACCATATTATAGTAATTGTTTAGGGTTTAGGATTTAGGGTTTAGGGTTTAGGGTTTAGGAAAGGGGGGGAAAACGGGTACCTTTGGGCTACCAAAACCAAGCCGAAAGCCAGCCGCGCAGGTTCTTGCAGCCGAGACTCCCAGTCCCAGCACGCAGCAGCATGCCAGTGCTCCGCACAGCGGCTTCAAGTTCATCTGTTCAGTTCTCGAGATGATGGGCCATTTTTGGTACCCTAAACAAGAGGAGCCGCCTTATACGAGGGACGACAAAAGGAACCACATTTTGGGAAAGTGACCATCTGTTGAACGGAGGCCGCGTGTTAGGGTTTTAGGGTTTAGGGCTTAGGGCTTAGGGTTCAGGGTTCAGGGTTTAGGGCTTAGGATTTAGGGTTTCGGAGTTTGTCGGGGGGAGGGACGCGAGTAGAAGGCTTGAGGATTGGGCGCTACGGTCTCTTGCGGTGCTTTTGAACCAGGTGGTCTTTGAACCCTGAACCCTGAACCCTGAACCCTGAACCCTAAACCCTAAAGCCAGCCCATCGGTAACCTAACTCGGTTGCCGTGTCGCTTGCCGAGGCAGGTCGCTTTGAGCCCATGGCCACGCATGCATGCAGCTGACCAAGCAACAAAGGGTTTCGGGTTTTATGGTTTAGGGTTCAGCGTTCAGCGTTCAGGGTTTAGGGTTCAGGGTTTAGGACCCTGATAGGGTTTAGACGTTCAGGCTCCTTGCATTGTAGTTTGGCACGTGTGCGTTCCCCCCAATGTTAGAGCCGGGGTTTGGGGGTTAGGATTCAGGGTACATGTCTAGCGAGACACACACAAACCCTAAACGCGCTGAACCCTAAACCATAAACCCTAAACCCTAAACCCTACATCCAATCTCTTAAGGGGTACTAGGAGGGCATCCTCGGAAGCGGCACACCTCCCTGCAGAACTTCGGCTTCGGGTTTAGGGTTTAGGGTTTAGGGCTTAGGGCTTAGGGCTTAGGGCTTAGGGCTTAGGGCTTAGGGCTTAGGGTTTAGGGTTTAGGATTTAGGGTTTCGGGGTTCCTGAACCCAGCTCTGTCAAAGGAAGGTGAGGCTCGATTGACGTAGGATCCGATGGACGTGCACATGGCCGCCAAGCCCACCAGGGAGTGGAAGGCCGCCACCTCAGGCCCAAGGGTTTCTGGGTTCAGGGCTAAACCCTAAGCCCTAAATCCTAAACCCTAAACCCGAAACCCTCAACCCTAAACCCCAAACCCTACACGGGAGCTGGGAGGGGCCTCGGGTTGAGGGTTCAGGGTTTCAGGCTTAGGGGCTTTGAGGACCCCGGAGGGGTGGGGGCAATTTCAGGTTTTGGGGTTCTCAGGGTTTAGTGGCTTTGAGGGCTAAACGGGGTTTAGGATTTAGGATTCAGGATTCAGATTCGGGTGTGAAAAAAAAGGCCCAAAGAACAAGCCAGAGCTGCCCCTGAGAGCCCAAACCCTACACCCCAACGTGCAAATGCTGGAGTCTGTGTGGTTCTGCAGGCCCCTGAGAAGGTGTTTAGGATTCAGGGCTAGGGTTTAGGGTTTAGGGTTTAGGGTTTAGGGTTTAGGGTTTAGGGTTTAGGGTTTAGGGTCCAGGGTTAGAGTTTGGGCTTTTCTCAAATTGTTCGGGGGAAAGTTTCGAAAGTTTCGGGGAGTTTCGAGGACTTTCGTCCAATTTCAAGTTCCAGGGGCTGAGGGTTTAGGGCTCAGGGTTTAGGGTTCAAAAAACCTAAGCCCTAAACCTTAAACCCTAAACCCGAAGCCCTATGCCGAAGACCCCAAACGCCCTGGCCGGCAAAGGGGCCGTTTGTGGCAGCGCGATGGGCGACACCTTCATGCCCAGACCCACACCTTCCAAAAGGGCCACTGTCCCCTTCAGAGGGCTTAGGGTTTAGGGTTTAGGGTTTAGGGTTTAGGGTTTCTTCGGGTTTAGAGTTTAAGGTTTAGAGTTTAGTGTTTAGGGTTTGGGGTTTAGGGTTTTTGGGTCTGGGGGTTTAGGGCTCAGGGCCTGAAACAAAAACCTTGCTTCCAAGTACAGGCCCTAGATGGCCTTGGTATGGCGCCTCCAATGAACTTGAGGGGCAAGCCATGAGCCATGGGCGTGTCAGCAATGCATGACTTCCGTACTGCACCGAACCGTTGCCGTATTGCTCGTCCACCCTCCACTTCCTCCCCCCAAGCCCCAAGACGCGAGAACCATGGAATGAGGGTCTTTCCCAGGCTTGTGGGCGCACCCAGCCCCCCCACCCAAGCCCCGCTGAGATTCGCCAGAGCAGAGGGGTAGGGGGGAAGAGGGGTGGAGGGGTTGTGAGGGGCCTGGCAATGCCGCGCAGTGCTGAGCGCAAGACACCACGCAAGCCTGGCTCTAGCTTGGCGATTCATGGGCTTGCCTTCAGCCGTTAAGGGCCTAGGATGGCCCTTAAAGCCCCCCGAAACATACTCTAGGGTTTAGGGTTTAGGGTTTGGGGTTGAGGGTTTAGGGTATGAGCCTCTTAAAACGTTGAGGCGGCTTTGTGGCTTGAGGCCTAGGAAGGTTCAGGGGCTTGAGGTTTAACCCTAAACCCTAAGCCCTAAACCCTAAACCCTAGACCTTAGACCCTAAACCCCTGGCCCTAGTAGGCCTTAGCCCCCCAAGAAGTCTGCTGAGCCCTGCATCGCTAAAGCTGTAGGCCTGCAGTGCCACCGATGACCAGCAGAATGGAGCTGATGATCAAGTTCTCCTGAAATGGGGAGGGGGGTTTAGGGTTTAGGGATATTTAAGGGTTTAGGGTTTAGGGATATTTAAGGGTTTCAGGGTTTAGGGTTTAGGGTTTAGGGGATCCTTATCGACCCGGGCGGCGTGTTGGATGGGTTTGGGAGGTGCACCCCTCCGCTTTTTCCCCCTCACCCCAAAAAGCGTGGCATCGAAGGGGTACAGTACCTTGCAGTTTTTTGGCGGCCCCCACCCCCCAGCCCGCCCCAACCCCCGCCCCTACCCCAAGGGAGTCCTACGATTTGGGGGTCTATCTTTGGGGTTCCTTATTTTCGTAAACCCTAAACCCTAAACCCTAAACCCTAAACCCTAAACCCTAAACCCTAAACCCTAAACCAAATGTTCGGGCTTACGTTTCGGGTTTGGGGGCTTAGGGCTTATGGGGTTTAGGGTTTGGTTTAGGGTTTGGGGTCCCCCCTTCCTCCGACAGGTCTACCATGGTGGCCACCATCGCGCCGAAGACGCCCACAATTCCTCGGTTTAGGGTTTAGGGTTTGGGGTTTAGGGTTTAGGGTTTAGGGTGTAGGGTGTAGGGTTTAGGGGTGCCTTCCAGCCGCGGCTCCGAACTTGCAGCCCGCGTTGGCCGTAGACATGGTCGCGAGCCCGCCGATGGCGGCCACGCAGAGGAGGGCGGAGACGGTGGTCACAGCCTGGCGGCTTGGGGGTTTGGGGTTTAGGGTTTAGGGTTTAGGGGTTTGGGGTTTAGGGTTTAGGGTTTAGGGTTTAGGGCTTAGGGTTTCGGAGGAATTTGGGGGAGGGAGCTATAGCCCTAACCCTAAACACAAAACCCTAAACCCTTAAAGTTCAAAGTTCTTGGGGGGGGTTAGGGTTGAAGGGCTTGGAGCCCAAAGCTATCCACAGCCAACAAGAAAAACTTCAAGGGACCCTAAACTCCTACATGTAGGTCCAGGGTTCAGGGTTTAGAGTTTAGGGTTCAGAGTTTAGGGTTCAGGGTTTAGGCTTTAGCAAGCGTCCACTAAAACCCTGGTACTCCCTTAGCTTCCCAAGGCCCTGAGACGCCCTGTGCTCTAAACCCCAAACCGACCCTAAACCCGAAAGTACTGCGGTCTTGAAACATCTGGAAAGGACTCGTTCATCAAACTCTGGCCTCTTCTTCAAGGCTAAGGGGCAGATCACGGTCACGGGCTTGGGGCCGATGAACCCGTATTCATCGGCCCTAATTGGTTTCAAATATGTTCTGATTCCATTGTCCCTTTTGGCGCGAGCACTTCTCGGTCACAACATTTCTCCCAGAAGTATCTGTCCAAGGATTGCACGAGGGGACGTGCCGACATGTCCCACCAGAGTTGGGACAACTCTGGACATAACAAGGTCGTCGGCACCCACCCCACCGCCGTGCGCACTCCATCTCGCTTCAGTGATGCCCATATTGATGTAATGTCTGACGATGTTGCCTCATGAGTTTCTCTCGCTCGACAGACGCTTCAGAGACTGAGATGCTGACAACCTCCACTAACCACTATAGAACCCAATACTTGAACGCTTAAGCCCGCAAATTCTGAAATTCTGAAACCTCAGACCATAGCCTGGACCTGAAATGCTGACCAACCCAAACCCTAAACTCGAAACTTTTAACGACCTCTAAAGTCCCTAACGCCACCGGAACAGCCCTTTCACCCCCGTTTGAAAAACCCTGTAAACCCCTAAGCCCTTTAACATCTTTAAAGTTCCAACCCCCAAAGCACCCTTAAAGCCCTTAAAGCCCTTACACGAACGCCCCAAAAACGAGACTGGACCCTGGTACCTTCAGCAGCTCGGGACGGGTCAGTGCCACCAGCAAGAAGACCACACCAGGGAACAGCATGAGTCCTGTGGCACAGTCAGTAGGGAGCGGGGCGTAAACAGTCCTGCATCGGAGCCTCGATTCAGTTTCTTGCTGCCGAACGTCGTTCGTGGCATGTTGTACGTTAAACCCTGAGCCCTAGTACCCAAACCGAGAGCCAGGTGAACTGCCTCAACGAGGCTTTGATCGCCCCCACAAGTGCAGGTTGCTTCTGTCGACCGTCTTCATCTTTGTAGGAGATGCGGGTCTTTCTGGAAGCAGTTCATGATTCCCGAAGCAAAATATCCCCAGAGCCCCAACAGAAAATTCCCGTCCTGAGAAGCTCCCCAAACCCTAAACCCTAAACCCTAAACTCCTGAAGCCCTAAGCTCTGAACACGTCAACCCAGGGCCCCTTCAACCCCAGACCCCTGACCCCTTAAGCCCTTAAGGGTTTAGGGTTCAGGGTTCAGGGTTTCTAGTTCATGGTTGGGATAGTACTTGAAATCTAAATATCTATTCCGCATTGAGATGAAGTACCCGTAAAATATGAAATATTACCCCACTATGACAAAGGTTTAGGGTTTAGGGTTTTCGAAACCCTAAACCCCTAAACCCCTAAACCCCTAAACCCCCAAACCCTAAACCCTAAACCTCAAAAGTCCGGTCCTGAGAAGTCCTTGTCGCCTGGCTTCTTGAACAAGTCCAGCATGCGCTGGGACACCACGAAGCCACCAAAGATATTCACCTTTTTGGGTTCGGGGGCCCAGCGTGTTTAGGGTTTAGGGTTTGGGGCTTAGGGTGTTTAGCGCTTTCTTGCGCGTCTTGGGGGTTTAGAGCGTTGGGGTATTTGGGTGCTTAATTAGGGGTGTGTTTGCGGCTTAGAATGAGGGTTTTGAGGGCTGTTAGGGTTGAATGTTTAGGGTGTAGGGCTTTGAGGGTTTAAGGCTCAGGGCATTTTGGGGATTTAGGCTTCAGGGTTAAGACTTGTTGGTTTAAGGTGCAGGGTTTTCGGCTGGGTATCAGCTTCGGGGGAGGGGGGGGGGGGACGGATGAGGCTCGGAGGAGTTTGGGGACTTGGAGTTTGGGTGTTAGGGTAGAAAGCCTTCCACACAAAACCCTAAACGAATTCCGTCGAAGCCTAAACCCCAAGACCCCAGCAAAGCCCTTAACCCTAAACCCAGCTGAGAGAACTAGGCTGAATTTGATGAACAGAATCAAAGAAATGTCAACATTGAAAGTTCCAAGCTCCATTTGCCTAAGCTTCCTTCTGCTGTTCTCACGAGACGGACACCAAACCGAAAAGTCTAAACAGCCCCATACTGTACCCTAAACCCTAGGCGAAAAAATCCCACATCAAAACCCTGAAACCTGAAACCCTGCACCCTGAACCCTAAACCCTAAACCTCAACACCTTGAACAGCCCCAGTGACGGCGGAGACGAGCACAGCAATAACCGCCAAGAACCAGGCGGGTCCTGGTTCGTGGGTTTTTGGGGGGCTTTGGGAGGCCTTTCGGGGCTTAGGGTTTCGGGCTTAGGGTTTAGGACTTAAGGTGTTAAGCTTTCGCGCTGATTCGAAAACTCTACAGAATTCAAGAAGATGCTTAAGAAGCTCCGAGCCTGCCCGCCCCAACCTCCGTTGATCCGAACTACCCCCCCAACCCCCCGCCCTCCTGAGTCGGTCTTGTCCAGAAGTAGGAGGCCTCCGACGGCCTGCGGTTGAGGATTTCTGGCGCACTTAGGGGCCCGCATGGCTTCTTAGGGTGAGGGTCCGGATTAACCCGAACTAAACCCTAAACCCTAAATTGTCAAACCCTAAACCCTAAACCCTAAACTCTAAACACTAAACCCTAAACCCCAAACCCTACAGGGTTTAGGGCCTGGAGTTCGGGACGCCGACTTCTTGACGTTCTGTCCCAGCCCAGAATTGTCGCGCTTCCAAGCGCTCACTGCTGAGACGGGGGGTTGAGGCTGCACCCCCCGAACCCTGAAAGCCCGACTCCCATGAAACCCGAATCCCTCCCTTCCTCCCCCCCGCCCTCCCCCAGGGTTTAGGGTTTAGGGTTTAGGGTTTAGGGTTTAGGGTTTAGGGTTTAGGGTTTAGGGTTTAGGGTTTAGGGTATACAGGGTAAAGGGTTTAGGGTTTAGGGTTCAGGGTTTAGGGTTTGGGCTTTAATCCGAGGCACCGTGCATCCGGAGATGGCGTTGGTCACCGACATCAGCGGGGTGTGGAGCGCGTGCGCGACACCCCACACGGCCTGGTAGCCTGGAGGTGTCTAGGGTTTGCCTCCTCTTTACCTACAGTTTTATGGGTTCTACCTACGAATTAAGGGCAGCTACTACTAGATTGTAGGTAAATAGAGTCCCAGGTATATGTAGGGTTTATAGGGCTTAGGGGTTCTAAACAATCTAAACCCTAAGCCCTAAACGCCAAACCACCAAGGCTTCTAGTTTCTCGAGTTGAGGGCTGGGGGTTGAAGGCTTATAGGCTTAGGTCTCTAGGGTTTAGGGTTAGGGGTTTAGGGTTTAGGGTTTAGGGTTTAGGGTTTAGGGTTTAGGGTTTAGGGTTTAGGGTTTAGGGTTTAGGGTTTAGGTTTAGGGAGGGTCGGGTGGGGGGGGGGGGAATCAGTAGCGGGGGATTGGGGATTGCGTGGGGCTCCAGCCCGACAGTGCCCCCGCAAACCCGAAAGCCTGAGCCCGAAATCCCTCGGTGCCGGCAGCCCTCAACCCTAAACCCTAAACCCTAAACCCTAAACCCTAAACCCTAAACCCTAAACCCTAAACCCTAAACCCTAAACCCTGCACTGGTGCCTGCAGCCCCAGCCAGGAGGAAGGTGGTGAGCAACGAGGTCTTCACGCCTTTCAAAGGCGCGTCATATATGGGAGGCAACCCTAACTTCGGATCCCTTGTATAGGGTTCCCCTATTCATAAGATGCTCGGGTTTGGGTTTAGGTTTGGGGTTTAGGGTTTAGGGTTTAGGGTTCAGGGTTCAGCGTTTAGGGTTTAGGGGGATCAGGGCGTGCGACCCCTTAATCCCCCAGGTAGCGGAGCCCCTACGACAACAACACAAACTTCCCTTCCACAAATCAGCGACAACTTCGGGAGTAGATTCTCAGGTGAACCTCATCTACCAATTGCATTTAAGAAACCCCCCACCCCCCCCCCCAAAAAAAAAAAAAAAATATATGAAGAATATGTCATTTTGGGATGTTCCCGCTTATACTACAGCCCTGAATAGGGGTTATTCTAGGGGGTACTATAATGCCTTCGAAGGACTGTAAGCATAAGGGAGAACATCCTTAATAATGATCCCGCTATTGCCCTAACAAGGAAGATTTTTTGGGGGTGTGGCTCTCAAGCAAGTAGTAGTCATGCAAGGCTAGTCTAGAACAAGGGGTATCTAAGGGCAGCAAGGGCTAAAATTCAGGCTATGTAAGGAGTATGAAGCGAAACCCCTAAACCCCCAAACCCCCCAAACCCACTGGGAGTTGTCCTAGACCAAGCTACCCACACACAAGTCCAAAGCATTGAAAGGAAGTACGGTTTTGGATTTAGGGTTCAGGGTTTAGGGTTTAGGGTTGAGGGTTTAGGGTGCTCTTCTGAAAGCATCAGAAAGCTCTCGAGCTTCAAGGGCTTCGGGTTTACGCACCAGAAGATTGGGCCCCTAACTCTAAACCCAAAGCCCCAAACCCCAACCCCCCAGACCCAATCTCCCCTTGACCCCCAAAACCCCGAAACCCGGCCCCTAATCCCCTAAACCCTAAGCCTCCGAACCCTGATGTATCCCAAAACTGCCAAAAAGCCCCTACTCAGTTCATAAGCACCCAAAAAGTGCACTGTCAGTTCTACAGGGGATCGTAAAGTCTAAAGTGTACGAATTCAGCTGAGCCTAAACCCTGAACCCTAAACCCTAACCCGAAACCCTAAGCCCTAAACCCTAAACCCTACTAAGCCTAAGGTTGAGGACTCTTCTCGCTACGAGGGGCCTTCGCCCATCGCCAGCATGCAGCCGACGCCGATCGTGAGCACCAGCGCCGCGATGGCCGCGGCCTGGGGTTTAGGGCTTGGGGCCTCTGAAGGGTTTAGGGTTTAGGGTTTAGGGTTCAGGGTTCAGGGTTTAGGGTTTAGGGTTCAGGGGGCCGTGGATGCCACGGCTCTAATAAGGGGGTGTGCAGGGGGGAGAGTTGGGGAAGTGCCGAACCCAGCCTGGGCGCAAGACAAACTCAACCAAACTCTGTTTAGGGTTTAGGGTTTAGGGTTTAGGGTTTAGGGTTGAGGGTTGAGGGTTGAGGGTTGAGGGTTGAGGGTTGAGGGTTGAGGGTTGAGGGTTAGGGTTAGGGTTGTCCAGTAATCCGGGGGAATTAACATTTAACCTTTGGGATTTTATAGGGTTTTTGATACCCCCCAAAAGGTACTACGTAAGCCAACCCTCCACCCTGATAGACTCGCAACCCAAACGCCCTGATGACCGGAGACCTCGCCGTCCCCAAAGTGATGGTCCGGCACAAGAAGTCCGAAACCAAACGCCCCGAAGCCCAATCCCCCCCTAGTGAAACGTCCCTAAAGCTCCCTAACCCTGAGCCCCAAAACACACACAGGCTTCAAACCCTCGACCTCAAAAACTCTTAACCCCTAAATCCACAAACCCCTCCCGCACCCTAAACTTCCTAACCCCTAACCCCTCACCCCTCAACCCTAAACCCTAGACCCTAAACCCGAAACCCTAAACCCTAAACCCTAAACCCTACCCCCCCCCCCCCCAAACCCGAACTCCCCCCCCAAACCCGAACTCCCTGGCTTCCCAAAATGCGCTCCTTCATGCCCTAAACCCTAAGCCCCAAACCCCAAACCCTAAACCCTAAACCCTATAAACCCTAAAAACCCTAAAAACCTTAAACCCTAAACTCCCCCCTAAGCCCTAAGCCTATAAGCCCTAAACCCTAAACCCTAAACCCTAAACCCTAAGCCCTCAGCCCTAAACCCTAAACCCTAAACCCTAATAAACCCGAAACCCTCACCCGACCCCCCACCCCCACCCCCCAAACCCGAAGTCCCTGGCTTCCCAAAATGCGCTCCTTCATGCCCTAAGCCCTAAACCCCAAACCCCAAACCCTAAACCCTAAACCCCAAACCCCAAACCTTAAACCCTAAACCCTAAACTCCCCCCTGGCTTCCCAAAATGCGCTCCTTCATGGGCTCCTCCTTGGGCGCCGCCTTCTTATCGCCCGCGGCGGGCGCCGCTTTCGGCTTCACCGGCGTGGGCTGCGGGGGAGGGGGCATCTTCACCTGCAGGGCTTAGGGTTTAGGGTTTAGGGTTTAGGGCTTAGGGTTTAGGGTTTAGGGTTTAGGGTTTGGGGTCTAGGGTTTAGGCTTTAGGCTTTATGGTTTAGGGTGGTTAGGGCGGTTAGGGCGGTTAGGGTGGTTAGGGTGGTTAGGGTTGTCAGGGTTGTTAGGGTTGTTAGGGTTGTTAGGATTGTTAGGGTTGTTAGGGTTGTCAGGGTTGTTAGGGTTGTTAGGGTTGTTAGGGTTGTTAGGGTTGTTAGGGTTGTTAGGGTTGTTAGGGTTGTTAGGGTTTAGGGTTGAGGGAGCCGATTTTAAGTAGGGTTTAGGGATGGATTTAGGGCTTAACTCAGGGTTTGTCAGGCTTCGCTTAGGTCACGGCATTGAGTTTTTTTCAGGGTTTTTGGTAGCTTCCGGGGATGTTCAGATTTTAGAGATTCGGGTTGAAAGGGTTAGGAGCTGAGAGTTTATGAGGGTTCAGACTTCAGGTTGCTTTGCGATTCAAGGTAGTTGCATGGTCCCTTATAACTTATGTTGCCTTGCCTTCTTCGAAGGGTTCTGAAGTATGGGTTCTTGGGGCTTATAATAGGATACATAAGGAGTATGCAAGGGTACATAACAGGTTCCCATTTCAGGGCCCACGCGAAGGGACCATGAAGCTACCCTAAGATCTAGGGAGTGGGCACGACCGCCTTTGGGGGGGGGGGGGGGGGGGGGGGGGGGGGGGGGGGGGGGGGGGGGCTGTCCATGGTTTGGGGGTTTAGGGTTGAGGGACAAGCTTGATGCTTTGATCCGGAATCGTTGGTATTCTTAGGCGTTGGGCGAGGCCCGTGGGCCCTGATGGGGTAGGCCACCCGCCAAACCCCTGGTCACAAAAGCCTACTCCACATGTAAAAAACACACAAATCTCCCACCCACAACAACAACAAAGAAGTCAAAAAAAATGCAAATGCCAACACCAAGCACATGGCCGACAAATTTTGAGCCAGTGCGTTGCGAAATCCCAGAGTTCAACTGCTCGCAAGCTTGAGTGTTCTTCCCGGCCAAGAGGTCAGCGTTGACTGGTTGTTTGGGATGCACTTCCGGCAGGTACCGCAAGCACCATGTGTGGTTGTCGCGATGGAAATTGTCAAGAAGAAGTGCCATGTCAAGGAATGTGCGACTGCCCCTCCCATCCCTAAACCCTAAACCCCAGACCCCAACCCTAAACCCTAAACCCCAAACCCTCAACCTTAAACCCCTAAACCCCAAACCCTAAAACTTAAACCCCTAAACCCAAACAACAAACCCTAAACCCCAAACCCCCAAAACCTAAACCGCTAAATCCCCTGGGCCCCCAGCCAGCTGCCCACCGCGGGTGCACACGATGCTTCTGGAGACGATGTCCCCCTCTTCACCTCCGACTTCGAGGACTTAGGGCTCAGCTTGTTTTAGGGTTGAGGGTGTAGGGTGTAGGGTTTAGGGTTTAGGGTGTAAGGTCTGGGGGGCCTGAACGCTACAACCCTGAACCGCTCATGGTTCTAGCGTTCAGGGCCTGAGGGTTTGTTGAGGTGTTCAGGGCTCAGGGCTTATAGTCGTTTGGGTGTTTACCTTATACCCCAGTCCGCCGGGCCTGCGTCCAGGGCGCCCAGCAGGTTCTTCATGAACTCGCCAGCCTCTTATTGTTGGTGAGTAGGGAGTGGGGGAATGAGGTACCCCATACAATCCTTAAAGGGTATAATTTAGGGGGATATAGGGTAATCCCTTAAAGGGTATATATAGGGCCCTATACCTCCCTAACCAGTTGGGAACTCGCCCGCCTTGCCCTTGCCGTGGATGTGGCGGAGGAGGTTGCCTCTACATGATGCCAGGGTTTAAGGTTTAGGGTTTAGGGTCTAGGGTTTAGGGTTTAGGGTTTAGGGCTTAGGGCTTAGGGCTTAGGGCTTAGGGCTGAGGGCCCCAAAACCCCAAAGACTAAGCCCCAAACCGCCTAAACCCCTCCAAACAAAAAGCATGTAAACCTGTAACCACCTAAACCCCAAAAGAAACACGTAAACCTGTAACCACCTAAACCCTAAACCTGAATTCCTCAAGCCACCCAAACCCTAAACCCCACACGGGCATAGGCATCAAAAAAAAAAATAATAAGCATCAAAAAGAAAAATAATAGGGATCAATAAAAAAAATAATAGGCATCAAAAAAAAAAATAAGCCATCCGGCCCACCTGCGTGGTCCTCTGGTCCCGTGGTCCTCTGGTCCCGTGGTCCTCTGGTCCCGTGGTCCTCTGGTCCCGTGGTCCTCTGGTCCCGTGGTCCTCTGGTCCCGTGGTCCTCTGGTCCCGTGGTCCTCTGGTCCCGTGGTCCCCTGGTCTTGTGGTCCCCTGGTCCTCTGGTCCTCTGGTCTGCTTGTCTGTCCGCCTGGTCCTGCGGGTCCTATGCGTATAAATAAATAATTAAATTAGACAAATAAGTAAAAATCAATAAATATAAATAAATATATATATATATATATATATATTATATACACACGATAGTGAAGGTCAACGTGTGTGTATATATATGTATGTATGTATGTATGTGCATATATATATATACATATTACATAATACACATTACATTACACATTACCTATTATATACTATACATTATACATTATACATTATACATTATATATTATATATTATATATTATGTATTATGTATTATGTATTATGTATTACGTATTCTGTTTATGTATTATGTATTATGTATTATGTATTTTGTATTAATTATGTATTATGAAGTCTATATTATGTTTTATGTTTTATGTACTATGTACTGAATTATATATTATATGTTTTATATTATGTATTCTGTTTATGTATTATGTATTATGTGTTATGTATTATGTATTTCATGTTATATTATTAGTCTATGTACATGTATTATATAATATATTATATTTTATGTATTTATTATATATTATCTTTATTCTTATTATTAGTATATTTATATGTAATTGCATGTATTTATATTACATATTACAATTAACATATTCCATATTACTATTACATAATTACTATTACACTATTACTTTACATATTACATATTACATATTCCGATTTCTATGCTATTATAATTATAGTATTATATATTATTTATATTTTCATATTGTCGTACATTATATGATATGTGTATGTATATAAATAAGTAAATATAAATATGAATAAACAAATAAATATACATAAATAAATAAATATATAAATATATATATATATATATATTTATTTATTTATTTATATCGCATATTGTGTATTATATGTCATATATTGCATATCATATATTGTATATTGCATATTATATACTGCATATAATGCATAATACAAAGTATATAACATATAATATATACTGTATACATAATATACAATATATAAAATATATAATAATATTTATTTTTTGATTAGTTTATTTTTTATTATTCATTATATAGCATATTTTATATATTATGTAGTATGCATTATATACTGTTCTTTGAAGCCATTGGAATGCAAAGAAAATGGAAGTTTTTTGCATAAAACATGTAGAAGTAGAGTTTTTCCGATGGAAACATAGAGATAATAGAGGATTTCTCATGAAAACGTGAAGACAGTAGACGTTTTCTTGTGGGAGTATGAAGAAATAGAGGTTTTCCCATTGAAAGATCGAGAAACTAGAAGGTTTTCCAACCACTACCACCACTTCTACGCATCGTGCGAACATTGTTTGCAAATGGGGGGGGCTGCGCCCCCCCCCAACCCCCCCGCTGTTTTTTTTAAGCTGTGCAAAGCGTGCTGCAAAGCCAAGTGGGGGGGTGTGGGGGGGTGTGGGGGGGGGGGGGCTGCGCCAACCCCAACCCCGCCGCGTTTTTATCAAGCTGTGCCACTGCAAAGCGTGCTTTATGAATCTTGTTGAAGCCATTGGGATACTAAAAAGTTTAAGTTTTTCTTAAAATACATGCAAATAGAGGTTTTCGGATGGAAACATAGAGATGATAGAGGTTTCCTATGAAAACGTGAAGAAAATAGAGGTTTTCTTGTGGGAATATGAAGAAATAGAGGTTTTCCTATTAAAAGATCGAGAAAATGGAAGGTTTTCCAACCACTACCACCACCCACTACTACCCATCGTGCGAGCATTGTGTTTGCAACTGGGGGGGGGGGGAGCTCATCCCCCCCCCCCCCCCACCCCCCCCACCCACCCCAACCACCCCCCTCCCCCCAAACCCCCCCCCTCCCCCCACCCCCTCCCCCCAACCCCCCTCCCCCCAGCCCCACCCCCCCCCCGCAACACCCCCAACCTCCCCCCCCCCAACCCCCCCACCCGCCCCCCCCCCCCCAACCCCCGCCCCCCCCCCACCCCACCCCAAGCCCCCCCCCCCCCCCCCCCCGTGTATTTCCAAGAGGAAAATGGGTTAATTTTTCTTTTGATGCTTATTTATTTTTTTGTTGATCCCTTGGGGTTATTTTTTTTTGATGCTTATTTATTTTTTTTGATCCTTCACCCACCCCAAACCCGCTAAACCTCAAGCCGCTCGAACCGTAAACCTCCAAACCTCTCAAAGCCCATCCCCCCCCCTAGGGTTTATGCAGGGTCTCGAATTCCGGGGTCCCTAAGCCCTAAGCCCTAAGCCCTAAACCCTAAACCCTAAACCCTAAACCCTACACCCTCAACCCTCAACCCTAAACCCTAAACCCTAAACCCTAAACCCTAAACCCTAAACCCCAAACCCTAAACCCTAAACCCTAAACCCTAAACCCATTCCCTACTTAGAACCAGGGGCTCTCTGGTGGACTGGTCCGGTTGAGGGGTCTTCTGTCAGCTTCGGGAGTGGCGTGTTCCCAGTTGGGGGCACCTCATGGCAAGGTCCAAAGGATAGGGTTTAGGGTTTAGGGTTTAGGGTTTAGGGTTTAGGGCTTAGGGCTTAGGGCTTAGGGCTTAGGGCTTAGGGCTTAGGGCTTAGGGCTTAGGGCTTAGGGCTTAGGGCTTAGGGCTTAGGGCTTAGGGTTTCAAAAAACTTGAGAAGTAGTACTGTAGACCCATCCGATTCTGATATTGTATGGCCATGCCTTCAATTGAGGGTTTGCTAACACCCGAACTCCCTCCCCTCAAGGGATGCTGTGGGCGAGGGCGGAGCTCTCTTCTGAAAGGAGATGCAGCCGAGCCACACATGTTCTGGGCGTACCTCACATGACACCACCCTGTAAACCCTAAACCCCTAAAGCCCTGAAGCCCACAAAACCCAATAAGCCTTTAATTAACCCAAACACTCACACCGCACCCCAGAAAGTAAGACAACTTTTAAGAACACCCTGGTCAATCGTCGGGACAAGTTTTTTGGCTTGGGGCCACTAGCACGGAGAGGTTTAGGGCTTGGGGCCTTTAGGGGTCCGGAGTTCTCTCGGGGGTTTAGAGGTGTAGGGGCTGGGTGGGGTTTTCGGGCTAGGCCTAAGCCCTGAAATCCCTGAAATCCTGAACCCGAAAACCGACCAACGGTTCAGGGCTTGTTGGGGGGGGGGGGGGATGTTGGACACTTAAGGGCTATTTGATATATAGGCTTCTTTTGAGAATCATTGCGGATGACGTCAAATAGTCGCTGAAAAAGTTTGGGTGTGCGCAGACTGTTGCCTCGAAGCCTTTTTTTGAGGACGCCCCAAGAGGCCGCTGAAGCCGCTGAGGCCGCTCATGAGGCCCGCTGAAACCGTTCATGCTGCGCCGAGCGCTGAGGCCGCTGAGGCCGCTCAGGTCACTGCCGGTCGCTGATCGCAGCTGAGCCCGCTTCAGGCCGCTCAGGCCGCTGAGCCCGCTGAGCCCGCTGAGCCCGCTCAGGCCGCTGGAGCCGCTAAGCCCGCTGAGCCCGCTGAGCCCCGCTGAGCGCCCCTCAGGCCGCTGAGGCCGCTGAAGCCGCTCAGGCCGCTGAGGCCGCTGAGCCTGCTGTAGCCGCTGAGGCCGCTCAGCCCGCTGAGCCCGCTGAGCCTGCTCAGGGCGCTCAGGCCGCTGAGGCTCAGCCCGCTCAGGCCGCTGAGCCCGCTGAAGCCGCCCAAGCCGCTGAGCCCGCTCCGGCCGCTGAGGCCACTGAACCACTGAACGCTGAGGCCGCTGAAGTCGCTGAGGCCGCTGAGGCCGCCGCTGAGCCCGCTGGGCCCGCTCTGGCTCCGCGCTGTGTCAAATGAACGCGAAGCGTCCAAGGCACGGGGGTGTTGGGGGGGAGGTCGGGAAAGGGGGGGGGGGATGGGAGGGGGACGGGGGGGGGGACGGGGTGTCTGGTTGAGGCGTTTTGGTGCTTGAAGGTTTCGGGTTCACAGAAAAGCTTGCGTTGAGGGTTTAAGGTGTAGGGGTTTAGGGTTTCGGGTTTAGGGTTTCGGGTTTAGGGTTTCGGGCTTACAGGGGTTTGAGGTTCAACCCTAAACCCTACGAGCCTCTGAGCCATGAACCGCTTGAGACTTCAGGTTCCCACACAAAACCCTAAACCCTAAATCCTAAACCATAAATCCTAAACCCTAAACCCTAAACCGCCAAGGGGCATGGTGCTGGCCTGGTTGGACATGCCTTGGTGAAAGGTTCATGGTACTTGTCGCGCCTTCAGAGCCCTAGTAGGTTGTAATTGGGTTTATAGGTACAGTTATGATTGGGTTAACAAGAACAATTGCAAGTACAGATATGAGTACAGTTATGAGTACAGTTATTAAGTCCAGCTAGAACTACAGCTATAAGTACAGCTAGAAGTACATTTATAAGCACAGTTTTCAGTACAGTTATGAGTACACTTGAAAGAACAGTTATCAGTACAGCTATAAACAGCTATAAATTAGGCTAGTGAACGGTTTAGGGTTAAGGGTTTAGGGTTTAGGGTTTAGGGTTTAGGGCATGGTCCCCTTAATATGGGCATCTCCCCAAAGTAGGGGGTGCCCCTAATATACCCCAACATACGATTTAATCCCTATGATAGCAACACCCCACAAAAAGACCATACTCCTTGTGATAGTATGGTAGCAAGCCCCCCCCCCCCCCCCCCCCCCCAAAAAAAAAAAAAAAAAAATGGTACCCCGACTTTCGGAAACCCCCATATGGCCCCGTTGTTGGGAATTGTTGTATATCCTACCACACCCAAGAGCCCATCTTCGGAACCCTTTGAAGAAGGTAGGGGACCGTATTAAGGACCATGTAACTTCCCTCAGACCTTTTAAAAGAGTCCTACACCTTCAGCCCTGACAACAAAGCCCTAAACCCTAAACCCTAACCCCGGACGACGTGAACTGCTTAGACTGGTGCGACACGGGGTTTCAGTACGGCTCAGCACCGCATCGTACAAAACTCGGACAGAGGATCAAGAGGTTTAGGGTTTAGGGTGTAGGGTCTTAGGGATTAGGGTTTAGGGTCAGTAAGCCTCACAAAATATTCCCTAAACCCTACAACCCCTGAAGCCCTCAGACCGTTGAACCCTCAAACCCTCTGAACCCCTTGAAGCCCTGACCCCCCCCAATCCCTTAGATCCCTAACCCCTCAAACAGTCCTCCCCCAAACCCTAACACCCAGGAACCTCTAAACCCTAAACCCCTACTGCACATGCCCTCAGACCTCTAAAGCCCCAAAACGACAGCGGGCTTGGGGTGCAGGGCTCGGGGGCTTAAGGCTCAGCCGTTTAGTGCTCAGGGTCAGGTGGTTCAAACCCTGAAACCTACATCCTAAACCCGAAACCCGGTACCCTGAACCCTAAAGCCTAAACAGGGTCTAAGCTCTTGAATTCTGGGCCCAGGCACGTGCCGGCATGTCGGAGTATCCGATGATGGTCACCTGGGTTGCCGTCACGGGAACAAATCATAAATTAAGTACCATGATGTGGATATATATATATATATATATATATATACAGATAACTATACATATACATGTATGTATATATGTGTGTATACACATATATGTGTTACTCTGAGCTTATTGATGTATTTCTATTTAAGTTTACTTATTTACTTACACTACATATGTATGTATATGTGTATGTGTGCATACTTAGGTGATGCAGAATGATTGCGTATTGCATGCTCCTTGTAGTACCCCTTTTAAAACCCTTCACCCTAAACCCTAAACCCTCAACCCTAAACCCCAAACCCCAAATGAGCAGCCCAGTCTCGCCGTTGGGCGTCGTGTAGATCTCACCGGGCTTGGTAAGCTCGCAGTTGCCGCCGCCTGCAGCCGCCAGGTCCACAATGACCTCCAAGACATGGAGTCTGGGGGTTTAGGGTTTAGGGTTTAGGGTTCAGTGTTTAGGGTTTAGGGTTTAGGGTTTAGGGCTTAGGGCTTAGGGTTTAGGGTTTGCGCAACTTGGCCTATACAAAAACCCGCTGGGTCCCGGACGCTCCCCGGGCGCATCGCGGAAACGGCGTCCTTGGTGATCAGAAGCGGCCTTGGCTGTTCTTGAAGCACCTTTCAACCTCACACAAAAGATGGCCACCTGAACCTTCACGCTCGCCCGCCTAACGTAGCCCTCAGCGCAGCCAAACAAAATAGTTCCCTAGACCTAAACCCTCAACCCAACTAAACCCGAAACCCTAAATCCTAAACCCTAAACCCTCAACCCTCAACCCTAAACCCTAAACCCTCAACCCTAGGTTTCAAGCACGAGCGGCGAAGGGCGGCCCGGAATGGCGGCGGTGCTGATGGCAATGTCGCACTCGGACAGAACTTTCCTGGGACAAGGGAGGTATAGGTCCCAGGGTTTCGGGTTTAGGGTTTAGGGTTTAGGGTTGAGGGTTTAGGGTTTAGGGTTTAGGGTTTAGGGTTTAGGGTTTAAGGCTTAGGGTCCTAAGCAAGCCATGTTCATGTTCCCGAACACCCTCGGCCCTATCCCTGATGAGAGCCTCTTTGCAAAGGCCCCCTGTCCCAATATGGCCTCAGGGTAGGGCTTTGGTTAGGGCTTTAGGGTTTAGGGTTTAGGGTTTAGGGTTTAGGGTTTAGGGTTTAGGGTTTAGGGTTTAGGGTCGGGCCTAGGGCTTAGGGCTTAGGGCTTGGGGCTTAGGGCTTAGGGCTTAGGGCTTAGGGCTTCGGGCTTAGGGCTTAGGGCTTAGGGCTTAGGGCTTAGGGCTGAGGGCTTAGGGCTTCGGGCTTCGGGCTTCGAGCTTCGGGCTTCGGGCTTAGGGCTTAGGGCTTAGGGCTTAGGGCTTAGGGCTTAGGGCTTAGGGCTTAGGGCTTAGGGCTTAGGGCTTAGGGCTTCGGGCTTAGGGCTTAGGGCTTGGGGCTTAGGGTTGCCCAGAGCCACTTGTGGTACTACCCTCCTCCCAAGTGTTCGCTACTAGGTGAGGGGGAAGGTTTTTTGGGGGCCAGAGATCCTAAACGCCAAACCCTAAACTCTAAACCCTGAACCCTGAACCCTGAACCCTAAATTAAACCCTAAACCGACTAGTTGTGGAGGTTTTTGGAGTTCGTAAAGATTTGGTGCCTGTAGATTTTCGACGCGATGTTCAAACCTCAATAGAACTATGGAACTATAGAACTGTAATTCAACCCTACCCTTAAAAAGTATAGAACTGGAGATATATAGACGCTGCATGGGCCCCTTGCGATGTGGAGGAGGTTAGAGCTCTTCTAGCTTGAGGATGTAGGGGATGGTTGACAATGAGACACGCCTTGTGGGTCTCTTATACACTGCTTAGACTTTGGGGTTTATACGGTTTAGGGCTTAGGGTAACGCTTAGGTAACAGAATACCCTGAGATGTCGCCTTCGGCTTTTTGGGATGTCCATCCGGAGATGCAAGGAGCAGCGGTAGTGGCTTAGGGTTTAGGTTTAGGGTTTAGGGTTTAGGGTTTAGGGTTTAGGGTTTAGGGTTTAGGGTTTAGGGTTTAGGGTTTAGGGTTTAGGGTTTAGGGTTTAGGGTTTAGGGTTTAGGGTTTAGGGTTGAGGGTTGAGGGTTGAGGGTTGAGGGTTGAGGGTTGAGAAGCAAAAGGGGTTTCAGAAGTGCAACACAAACGATGCTGTCTTCAATGAGTTTTGCTTGCCAGTGTCAAATGTACTTGGATGTTGCTGTTGAAGGCCACGCCAAGCACCATATTAGAGGCCATGTAGGTTCTGAAAGAGAACATCTGCCCTGCAGCTTGCTGAAAACGACAAAGCCACCTCCCTCTTATGGATTTCTGGAGCAAAGCATGCCGTCCCTCAATCCAAAGGGTTTAGGGTTTAGGGTTTAGGGTTTAGGGTTTAGGGTTTAGGGTTTAGGGTTTAGGGTTTAGGGTTTAGGATCCCTACATTGAAGCCTTTTCTTAGCAAGGCCAGGCAACACAAAGGAAGCGGTTCGACTCCAACAAAGACCAGGCTGCTCCTCCCTACCCAGAGACTCCATAACCCCTTAATTAAGGAATATACCTTAAATCATACTAGGGTTCCTACGATAACTTAAAGGATATACCTTAATTAAGGGGTTTTGGAGTCTCTGGGTACCGCCTTAGGCCCTGATCAGATTGGGGCAGCGAGCGAAGGCATCGGGCCAATAGTGTGTTCTTGGGCCAGGGATGTTCACCCACGTCAGGGAGCTGCAGTCAGCAAACGCTTCCGAACCCAAGTGGGTCACGGAGCCGGGTATCTCCACTTTGCTCAGGGAGCTGCAGAATGCAAAGGCCTCGCCTCCAATTTTGGTCACAGAGTCAGGGATTCCTACTTGTCTGAGTGACCGGCAGCCGTGAAAGGCCCCTGCTTCAATGCAGGTCACAGACTTGGGGATTTCCACCTGTGTCAGGGTTCTGCAGCCAGAGAAGGCATGGGTTCCAATCTTGGTCACAGAGTCGGGTATTTCCACTTTCTCCAGGGAACTGCAGCCTTGAAAGACACTGCCCGCAATGCTGGTCACAGAGTCCGGGACTTTGACTCGTATGAATGAAGTGCAGGCATGAAAAGCGCCGGCTTCAATGCTGGTCACAGAATTGGGGATTTCCAGCTGCGTCAGGGAGCTGCAACCAGAGAAGGCATGGACTCCAATGCTGGTCACAGAGTCTGGGATTCTCACTTCCGTCAAGGAGCTGCAGCCACAAAAGGCCCTCTCGCCAATGCTGGTCACGGAGTCGGGAATCACAACTTTCACCAAGTCTTTGCAGCCATAAAATGCTTTCTCAGCAACGGTTGTGGATCCAGGTGGGATCCGCACATGAAGACTCTTACCGTAATTCTCACCTTGCCACCTGGCCATTTCAACAAAGGGGTCCAGCCAGACAAGAGAAAGTTCAGCTCCGTCTTCCAACCCAGCTTCACCTGGTAGCCCAGTAACCATATTAGAATAAGGGCACCCTTTTTTGGGGTTGGTTGCTTTGTAAGGAAACCTTGAGCCAAAAAAAGGGAAAAGGGTACCAGGGCTACCAAGTTCACTCACGACCAGCTCAGGCTCAAGCACGGTCACGCCTTGAACCAGCGTCGCTTGGCGATCCCGAACACCATCGTCACGGCACTGCTGCAAGATGTCTCTCACCGTTGTGGCATCCACCACCGAGACCGCCTTCTGATCTCCGTTTGGGCGAGTGACCCAGAGGGTCTTGTGTGCCATGGCTGCAGCTGGCTGGACTTTTGACTTGCACAACCAAAGGCGCTTGGAATCGTTCAAGGGCGAAGATAAAGATATATATCTATATATATATATATAGACACATACATATATATGTATAAATAGAAAAACATATATATATATATATATATGGTTGAGGCGCGTGAAAAGAACAGCCTAAACAGGATTGACACAATTCAAATCATCCCAGCAAGGAAAAATTCGTAGACCCCAGCTAGCACAGACATCTGAATCACGGGTATACAGTAAACTCCACAAAGTTGGAACATAGTTTAAGGATGATTAGAGCTGGGATTCCCTTTAGTATGCCTTCTGGGGCATGGGGACAGGGATGTTCCAACTTTTTGGAGTTTAGTGTAGCGTTTCCAGAACAAAAACAAAAAATGACAGTTAGATTTCATGTACAACAAAGCAGGCCTGGTGTCAGCGCTGAATCTTTGGGTGGTCTCAGTTCACCGTCATCTACTCATGGTGTTAGACGGTTCCTGAAGTCGTTCGACCCCTGTGAAGGGCGACCACAACACAAACAAATGGCGAGCAGTTTCCAAATAAGAGTGCTTGTTCCTGCAGGACCACCGAGAGTCCACTCCTCTTTTGCAGCAAATGACATTGAAGCAGAAACCGGGTTGACAACAGCACAATCTCTTAATGGGCAAACGTTGAGAGCCGGGCCATTGCATACAACCAAGCTTCATGCAGCACTTAAAACCAAACACCAACTTCATAATACCACTAGAAGTCAGAAACATCCCTTGCGATTGGGCAAGATCAGCTGTTCAGGAATAAACATCCGCGACTTCTCTCTCAAGATCCAGGCTACTCGGTTTAGGGTTTAGGGTTTAGGGTTTAGGGTTTAGGGTTTAGGGTTTAGGGTTTAGGGTTTAGGGTACTTACCAGTCCCTGCTCTCCGTTTAATTTCGCGACTCAAGGGCCACTGCAGGGAAGCGACTCAAGTGCCTCAGAACAACCATCCACCTAACCCTAAACCCTAAACCCTAAACCCTAAACCCTAAACCCTAAACCCTAAACCCTAAACCCCTAAACCCTAAACCCTAAACCCCTAAACCCTAAACCCTAAACCCTAAGCCCTGTAAGACCCGAATGAGAGTTTGGGGAACTCCACCCGGTACCCTGAAACCTTGAGGATGGCAGCCTGTGGGGCTTCTGGGGGGTTAAGGTTTAGGGCTTAGGGCTTAGGGCTTAGGGCTTAGGGTTTAGGGTTTAGGGTTTAGGGTTTAGGGTTTAGGGTTTTAGGGCTTAGGGTTGAGGGTTGAGAGAATTTAGGGTTGAAACCTTAGAGAGTTTTAGACTGAGGCTCTTGAAGGTCTCCTGCTGGACCTTCTTGAAGGCGTCGGAGCTTTCCTTGGCGTAGCCTCCCTGGCCCTCGCCGCTCTCCTGTCCGGGCGCCCAAACTGCGGCTCGCGCGCGCGCGCGAGACGCGGTTTAGGGTTTAGAGGCTAGAGGGTTTAGGGTTTAGAGGAGTTATCGGGTTTAGAGGGTTTTAGGTTTTAGGGCTTAGTTTAGGGGTTCTTCCCTAGACCCTTCCTTGCCCCCTACACTCGTTTCGGCATTCCTCCCTCGTTGCCTACGTCACCCAAAGGCGTAAGCCACAACGCCAGTCCCCGGCGTTCAGAAGTCCAGGTGCTTAGGGTTCGCGGTTTAATGTTCCTCTGGCACTGTAGGGTTTAGGGCTTAGGATTTTTAGATTTTTAAGGGTTAGGGGTTTTAGGGCTTAGGGCTTGTAGGGTTAAGGGTTTAAGGTTAGGGCTTTAAGGGTAGGGCTTCGGGTTTTTTAGGGTTCTTGTTTTGGAGGTTTAGCATCTCGGGTTTGTGAGGAGGGGTTTTGCCCATGTCCGGGCTAACGTTTCAGGCTTCTTTGCGGTGTTGCCGCGCATCTTCAAGAGAAGGCCCACCTCAACCCCTAAAGCGACCCTTTAACGCCCTAAATCCTAAACCCCAAACCCTAAACCCCAAACCCTAAACCCGAAACCCTAAACCCCAAAACCCTAAACCCCAAACCCTAAACCCTAAACCCCAAAGAAGCAAAATCCTTGAAGTCGACGCTCACCCACTTCGCTCCCATGGAGTGGACCTTCCAAAGTTGCTCAAGAAAGAATTTATGGAAAGGAAAAGGGGGTTTAGGGTTTGGGGTTTGGGGTTAGGGGTTTGGGGTCTGGGTTTAGGGTTTGGGTTTAGGGTTCTGGGGGTTTAGGGTTTTGGGTTTTTGGGACGCCCAGTAAGCTGACCACCCAAGACGGCACATGCCTTGCAGCATGTCCGAGACTAGGCTCAGCGGCCTTTGAAAAAAGCCTCAACAAGCCCTAAACCCTATAGACCCTCAACCCTAAACCCTAAAGCCTAAACCCAACGCTCTAAACACTACAGCCAGAGCCTTGCGTCTGTCTTCGACGGCCAGCCGAGTTCGTATTATGTACCGAGGGCCCGTAAGTCTTCCTAAGATGCGTCACCTCTAAGGTGTAGGGTTTTGGGTTTAAGGTTTGGGGTTTTGGGGTTTCAAACGGTGAAAACCCTTACCTGGAAGTCTGTTTATCTTCCGGTTCATGGTTTTACCTATTGAACAAGGGGTAGTAGCTAAACCCTTCAAAATGTGCCGCGAACCCCGCACCCAAAACCCTGAGTAGACTGCTGAACCCTGAACCCTACACCCCTAAACACTAAAACCATATATCCCAGACCCGAACACCCTAACACCCTAAAACCCGAACCTCCTAAACCCCACCAAACCTCCATGGCTCGCCTGGTCGGACACGTCGCGAACATCCCAGGCTCGGACGACCTTGTGGGGTTTAGGGTTGCGGGATAGGGTTTAGGGTTTAGGGTTTAGGGCTTAGGGCTTAGGGCTTAGGGCTTAGGGCTTAGGGCTTAGGGCTTAGGGCTTAGGGTTAGGGTTTAGGGTTTAGGGTTTTGGGTTTAGGGTTTAGGGTTTAGGGTTTAGGGTTTAGGGTTTAGGGTTTAGGGTTTAGGGTTTAGGGTTTAGGGTTTAGGGTTTAGGGTTTAGGGTTTAGGGTTTAGGGTTTAGGGTTCAGGGAACCCCCAGTCCTATACCCTGCCAAGCCGTTATTTGTAAACCCGACTACACCCTAGACCACCTATTAAAGGCTGCACGCGCAATACTCCTACGCCGGGGGGTTCTTAAGCAAATGGGGGTCTTCAGGGTCCTTAGGGATTTTACGTTCTTTAGGGTCTTTGGGGTTTCGGGCCTTAACCCAAAAAACCGCACCCCGAAACTCTACTCCAGACCATAAGCCTCCCAAAGCCCTTAAATCATAAAGCACCTTACGCTGCAAAGTTTTATCAGCCTCAAACCGCTCAAGCTCCTGAAGCCCTTGAACTCATAAGCCCAAACCCCAAATCACACCCCTAAACCCTAAACCCTGAACCCCTACACTCATCAACCCTAA